TGCATTTCCAGGGAATGTCAGGTTTTTAAAATGAGCAATACACAGGAAAATCATGTTTTGGTAATGATTATTAAATTACCTCTGTCATGAAATAATTAAGTTCCCCTTATGGACGATGTACTTATTGCCACTGTTTTTTTAACTGCTTACAGTATTAACACACAGGCTTTGGATATTAAAAACATCCGAATGAAGTCAGTCTTAATTGTGTGTTTGAACTTTGAAGCTAATAGTATATTGTTCACCAAGTGAGAGTTACCAGTGTGAAATAGTTCATATTCAAAATGAGTCATTTGGACTTTTTTAAACCGTCTTTAAACTCAGGTGGTCATTTAGACCTAGCTCTTAGCCAGTTTTATGAATAGATATAGGTGCTGTTAAGAAAGGTTCCCTTAAAACATGAAAGAAGCATTTCTTTTCTGTCCCATCCCTTTCTGCAAGCCCATATGCAGTGAAGGTTTTTTAAAGATACAGTTGTTTTTTTGTTTTTTTTTTGTTTTCTTACTGATCTAGTAATCCCTGAAAGTCTCTTTCCTGGGTTTGTTTTGGTTTCTTGCCTTCCCTGAAATGTCAGTAGAGAAGTCTTTGAGTCCATCTGGCCTCAACCACATGTGCCTTTGTTGTATTATAATAAACCTTTCCTGGTCTTTTGACTTCACTCTTCCTCTAGGCCTTTTTGTAGTCTGATCACTTTTAGGGTTAATTTCAGCAAAAATGAAAGCTAGAGGTTTTTTTTTTTTCTTTTCCCAGAACTCTAAACTGCACATTTGTTTATGTTGGTAGATGATTTGTGGACCCTGCTAAGATTTTTTTAAATTACATATTTTCCTCTCTTAAGGTAGGGTGATAAGGCACATCTGTTACAAAACCTTTGGTAAGTAAGTACCACAGATGACATCTGTATGTTTGATTTTTATCCAGTTAGAATGGAGTATAGTCATACTAGTATGGAATATATTTACACAAGTTTTTTTTAATCATTTGAAATGATCTTTTTCACTAATTCAAGAAATCTCTACAATAAAATGGACTAACTAAATGTCAGTAATTGTATCCCAAATTCTAGTTCTTTTTTTTTTTTATTTATTTTGAGAGAGAGATGGAGACAGCATGAGTTGGGGAGAGGCAGAGAGAGAGGGAGACAGAGAATCCCAAGCAGCCTCTGCACTGTCAGAGCAGAGCCCATCATGGGCTTGAACTCACGAAACTGTGAGACCATGACTTGAGCTGAAACCAAGCAGACGTTTAACCGACTGAGCCACCCATGCGCACCCCCGCCCCTCTGAATTCTAGTTCTTCCTGGGTGAGAACGAAAATTGCTTTTTCCTTCAAAAGACTGGGTATGATACTCCTTTGCAAGGCAGAATAAACTTTTTTCAAATCAAAAAAGTAGTTAAGATAGTTTACTTTTAGATGACTTTTTCTGAAGCAGATTTTAAAACTACTATGAAAACTCAGTTTCTGAGCTCTGTTGTGGACTGAGGCACTTAGTTTATTCATCTCCCTCCTTTTTCAGCATGGAAGATAATGATGACGACAGCAAGATGGCAGACCTCTTGTCCTGCTTCCAGCAGCAGCTCACGTTTCAGGAGTCTGTGCTCAAATTGTGCCAGCCTGAGCTGGAGAGCAATCAGACTCACATATCAGGTATGAGTTCAAGGTTGTTAGAACTCGGCGAGGCACACTTTCACCAGAGATTTAAGGTTTCCAAACTTACAAGGTCAGATAACTTGCCAGGTAATTGCTTTAGTTCAAGATATGTTGGGAGAGCTAGTTACAATTACTGTTTGCGAAACCTCAAGTAGAAAGCAGTTTGTAGCACAATTCAAGGAGGTCCAACTTGGTTCAATGAAGATCTAAGAGGGTGTTGAAGCAGTCCAAGAAAATTAGAGGAATATTGGTGTCACCAGGCATTTTAGCCTGAGATAGGCACATGTTCAAAAATGAATGTTTTTCTTTTCATATGTTAAATGTTATTTAATTAGTTATGGGATTTTCCAGATTCAAGGAGATGACAATAAGTTTTTAGTGTTAGCGAATGGAATATGGATTTTATATGTGTGTGTGTGTGTGTGTGTGTGTATCAGACTATTTTTCTAACACTTGTATTTTTATATATCTTGGTGGTAAAATGATCCTTTGAGGGAAAGGGTGCTCTATAAAGGTGACTTCTGATTCGCTCCATAGTGAAAAAAACAAAGATTTGTGTCTTGATGTTAGAAACCATTATTACTTTTGGATAATTAAATACACGCGTGCACAGCTCTGAGCAGTACTAAGGGTGTGATTCACAAATGTGTGGGAGTACGGAGAGCTACCTGCACCGAGAATGAGATGGTAAAATAAGAGTCGCCGAACGGTTGGTTTTCTTTTGCAGTGCTGCCAATGGAGGTCCTGATGTACATCTTCCGATGGGTGGTGTCTAGTGACTTGGATCTCAGATCATTAGAGCAGTTGTCACAGGTGTGCAGAGGATTCTATATCTGTGCCAGGTACTTCACCTGTTTTAAAACAACTTGGGCAGTGGTGAAAAAAAATTATGGTCTTTTGCCGGTTTTGATAAAAAACTTGATTGATGTTCTGGGTAAAAATTTAGAATGAACAGTTTGGCCTAAGTTGTATTTGTGTGATTTTCTCAAACCACTCAGCATTTAAAGGTAGAAGGCACTAGGTTTCCAGAGTATAGACTATTACGTAGAACAGAGGTAGTCACACACATTACTTCCACAGGGTAGTTTGCATGCTAGTGTCACTGATTTGGAAAAGAAATTGCACTAGAAAAATAAACTCAAGTCATTTTCAGAATAACTCTAAACCCATTAAGTGATAATGATTTAGGGGTACCTGGGTGGCTCAGTTGGTTGAATGTCTGACTTTGACTCAGGTCATGATCTTGTAGTTCACAGGTTCGAGTCCTGTGTCAGGCTCTGTTCTGACAGCTCAGTCTGGAGCCTGCTTTGGATTCTGTGTCTCCCTCTCTCTGCACCTCCCCTGCTGGCTCTCTCTCTCTCCCTCAAAAATAAATAAAAAAATTAAAAAAAAAATTTTTTTAAGTAATGATTTAAACTTAGATTGCACTAGAACTTTCTTTTGGCCCATTCAAAGTTATTCTATACTTTTATTTTTTAATGTTTATTAATTTTGAGGTGGGGGAGGGGCAGACAGGGAGAGAGAGAATCCCAAGCAGGCTCCACTCTGTGATGCTATGTGGGACTCCATCTCATGACATTGAGATCATGACCCAAGCCAATATTGAGAGTCTGATGCTCACCGGCTCCACCCTGAACATGGAGCCTGTTTGGAATTCTCTCTCTCCTTCTCTCCTTCTGCCACTCCCCTTCGCACAGTCTCTCTTCTCAAAATAAATAATTAGCATTAAAAAAAAAAAAAGAATCAGACGCTCAATGTACTGAGCCACCAGGCACCCCCATCTTATACTTTTAAAATATTGCTACATAAAGAATAATCCTAGCTTAGTATAAAATTATTTGAGATTGGTCATCTTTCATGGATATCTTACATAAAAATACATACTTTGTCCTTAGCATCTAGAAGTTTTTTTTATAACTTGTTAAACTTCATTATTTTTAACAACCTAATTTCATTTGGAGTCTTGTATTTTGGGTAAAATGTTTGAATTGCCTGATGCCTTTGTTTTTTGGTGATTCTGTGTGCTATTCCATTTAACAAATTCTTATTAAATAAATAGATTTCAGTTTTGAAATGGGAGTCTCTAGAACTGTTAATCTATTAACTTTTTAAAAAATTATAGGGGCACCTGGTTGGCTCAGTTGGTTAAGCATCCAACTTCAGCTCAGGTCATGATCTCACAGTTCGTGGGTTCGAGCCCCATGTGGGGCCCTGTGCTGGCAGCTTGGAGCCTGGAGCCTGCCTTGGATTCTGTGTCTCCCTCTCTCCCTGCCTCTCCCACACTGTCGCTGTCTCTCTCAAAAATAAATAAACATTAAAAAAATTATAAAGGGAATTTTCAGGGATAAAACTTCTGTGTGTTTTCATAAAATAAAAATAATCATAAAAAGAAAAAATTGGGGAGGTAGTTAATCCTTTTTTGCAGCCCGGCTCAGATACAAGTAGTTTTTTACATCTTTAAAACTGAATATTTCAAGTTACAGATAGAGTTAAAGTATTTTGAGCTGTATTGGAATCCTGTTAATATTCAGTATATCTTTTGCTTAGTTTTTCTACACTAACCCCATAACAGTCTTGTTGGTGCTGCCTTAAAAGTAGACCTCCAGTCTGACCATTTCACCCTTCTCCAAGTACCCTTCTTGGTCAGCCACAGTTATACCTGGTCTGAGTTATGGCAGTGGCCTGCTTCCACTGTGACACCCCTAGAGCATATTTTCCAGACTACCAGAGTGATCTTTTAAAAGCGTAAGTCTGGGCACCTGGGTGGCTCAGTTGATTAAGCATCCAACTCTTGGTTTCAGCTAGGGTCATGATCTCACGGGTTGTGACTTTGAGCCCCACATCAGGCTCTGCACTGACAGTGTGGAGCCTGCTAGTGCTTCTCTCTCTCCCCCATCTCTCTGCCCCCTGCCCATGCTTTCTCTCTCTCAAAATAAATAAACTTAAATTGGAAAAAAAACCCAAAAACCTGTAAAAGTATTAAATCATACTCAGAGCTCTTCAGTGGCATCTGTCTCACCTAAATAGCCTGCAAGCTGTTACCTCCCCTGCCCTTGACTGCCTCTCTAATCATGTAGTCTGTTAACCTTGCTTAGTTTGCTGCAACCTCATGGTCCTTGTTGAGTGTGCCCGTCACACTCCTACCCAAGGGCCTTGCACTTGCTATGGCTTCTGCCCAGGGTTCTTTCCCGGCCACTATATCTGAAATTGTCTCTATTTCCCCACTACATTTCTTGTCTGTTTACCCTGCTTCATTTTTTCTTACACTGGGCACACTACCTGAAACTTTTTTGTTTTCTTAGTTTTGTTTGCTTTCCCACCAATAAACCAGCAGGGCCTTAGCCGTGTCTATCAGTCTATCTCCAGAACCCAGACAGTGACTTGTAGGAGCTCAACAAGTTCTTGCTGAATAGAAGATGATTGCTAGTAGCAGAGATATTTCTTGTATCTGCGTAGATGGACTTAGCCTTTTTTATAAATTGATGTTATGTTTTATCACCTAGAGACCCTGAAATATGGCGTTTGGCCTGCTTGAAAGTTTGGGGCAGAAGCTGTGTTAAACTTGTTCCATATACATCCTGGAGAGAGATGTTTTTAGAAAGGCCCCGTGTCCGGTTTGATGGTAAGTTGAACTCTTTAGAACTGAGAAGAAATAGTGGTCTGTCCTGCTGATTTTGATAAATACATAGTCTTCATTTTCTGTAACAGACGTAAGTCCTCTGATCATATTTAAAGGAAACCACAATAAAATTAAAACTAGAAACATTTTATGTGCTTGTAACTATAAAATTTTTGTTTGTGTTCCTGCTTAAAAAAAAAAACAACTTTCTTTTTTATAGGAGTGTATATCAGTAAAACGACATATATTCGTCAAGGGGAACAGTCTCTTGATGGTTTCTATAGAGCCTGGCACCAAGTGGAATATTACAGGTACAACTGTAGTAAACTGAGTGAGTGAAAAATTCTCTCTCTCCAAGTATTAGTTCATTAGTTAGTAGGAAGCTGTTCTCTGTGGCTTTTGCATTTATCTATAGAATGACCCTCAGTATTTTTATCCAGTATTATAATAGGACCTGCACTCGAAGAACTAATAGGTTAATGCACATGATTTAATTCCTCCTAGCCTCTAAATCTAAGAATCGTTTCATGTTTTCCTTTTCTTAAATTTTTTAAAGTTTATTTATTTTGAGAGACAGACACAGTGTTAGGAGAGAGAGAGAGAGAGAGAGACCATCTCAAGCAGACTCTACACAGCACAGAGCCCGATGTGGAGCTCAAACTCAAGAAACCATGAGATCATGACCGAGCTGAAATCAAGAGTCAGACACTTAACCGACTGAGCTACCCAGGTGCCCCAGAATTGTTTTATGTTTTAGAGTTCTTGTTTTTTGCTTTTGGTGTACTCATTCATTTGCCTTTTCACATAGCTTTTGCTATTATTCAGCTTTACTATCCATCAGATGTTATTGTCATTGAGAAATAAGTAGACATGGGGCACCTGGGTGACTCAGTTGGTTAACCGTCCGACTTTAGCCCAGGTCATGATCTCGTGGTTCATGAGTTCGAGCCTCACATCAAGCTCTCTGCTGTCAGTGCAGAGCCTGCTTTGGATCCTCTGTCCCCCCCTCTCTCTCTGTCCCCCACCTCACACTATCTCACTCTCTTAAAAATAAATAAACATAAAAAAGAGGAATAAGTAGACTTGTTAACTACTGTGTGTTATCATTAGAGCTCACTTGATATTAATTAGTGCTTTAGGAAAAGTGCTTTAATAGAGGAATATTTTTATTCAGGAGTAAAACTCTGAGAAAGATAATAATAAAATGCCTTCACTTCTATTGTGCTGGCCTCACAGGTTATCAGTAGTGTTTGTTTTAATGATGTTTTGCCAGTTTTTGACCCATGGTATTTCTGTTTTGATTTCACAGCAGAGAACAGGTTTAGGGCTAGAAAACAAGGACATGTTTTATACTTTGTGTGTGTGTGGTGTTTTTTGGTGTTCTTTTTCTTTTTACACAGGTACATAAGGTTCTTCCCTGATGGCCACATGATGATGTTGACAACCCCTGAGGAGCCTCAGTCCATTGTTCCTCGTTTAAGAACTAGGAATACCAGGTAGTATTTTTCTGTAGTTCTCTATCCAGCCCACATTTTATATGGATACCTGCAGGTTAATGTCATCCAGTGCTTCCTTAAGTTAGTACTGCATGATTAAAACAGCACTCTGCAAGAGCCCTTGTGAACAATACTAATTCCTGGGCATCGCTCTAGAGAGGACAGTTCAGTAGGTCTTTGGAACCTTACCAAACTAGGTTTATTCACATCCTAGTTGATTCTTCTCGGGCAAGTTGAGTAACTACTATTGTAATATATTACTTCCTAGGTTATTTAAATACATACAATAACTGATTAATGGACTTGTATTTTTTAATTTTTAGAACTGATGCAATTCTACTGGGTCATTACCGCTTGTCACAAGATACAGACAATCAGACCAAAGTATTTGCTGTGATAACTAAGAAAAAAGAAGAAGTGAGTATACAAGGTGGAATTGGCAGTTCTCTCTTCATTTCAGTACCCTACTCATTTAAGAATTCTTGATTAGAAAGGATAAGAAAATTGTGTTTTAGGGGCGCCTGAGTGGCTCAGTCAAGCCTCCGACTTCGGCTCAGGTCCTGATCTCACGGTCTGTGAGTTCAAGCCCCGCATCAGGCTCTGTGCTGACAGCTCAGAGCCTGGAACCTGTTTCGGATTCTGTCTCTCCCTCTCTCTCTGACCCTCCCCTGTTCATGCTCCGTCTCTCTCTGTCTCAAAAATAAATAAACGTTAAAAAAAAATTTAAACAAAAAGAAAATTGTGTTTTATAATTTATACGTTTCACAAAATGTATGTTGACTTATAGCATCTCTTTAAACAGAGCTGGAAGGTTTTCTAAAATGTGGGGTATTTTGAATTATGGATTCGCTTGTTTTTCTCTAAATGATTTCTTGTTCTAGTCCAGGCTTTTTACATATGAAAATGTAAACCCAAAATATCCTATGAAATAGCTAGTAAAATCATACCTGAATATGTTTTTAGCTGTTCTCATTTTGAATCATAAGGGATTTTGTTCTTATGTTAGCTCACACAGATGATTCTTTCTCAAGGATACTTTTACAGAGAATTTCAATTTTTTAAGTTTATTTTGAGAGACAGAGAACATGAGCAGGGGAGGGGCAGAGAGAGGGAGAGGAGGAGCATCCCAAGCAGGCTCCTCACTGTCGGCGCAGAGCCTGATGCAGTGCTCGAACTCATGAACCATAAGATTGTGACCAGAGCCAAAATCAAACGTTGGATGCGAAACTATCTCAGCCACCCAGGAACCCCGAGAATCAATCAGTTTATACTGGAAATAAGCTAATTTCCTTCTTCCTGTGTTTATATAAGGAAAAAAATGCCAAGCAAATGTGACTATTGAATTATTACATTCCAGATTACTTTTAACTGTCTTTAATACATTGAGGGCCTAATTTTTTTCACAACTTTTCTCCATATGCGTTTTTCAGTCCTGGTTTTAAAAATGTATACCCAAGGAGTCCATACACCTGAGTAGTCGGTTGTGACATAGTTGGAATAAGACTTGCCTAATGCTTTTATAATTAATGTAGTTTTTGAAGGTTTTCCTCCCATCAGATCCTCCTCTCTTCCTTGGCATCATGTGTTGAGGTAGTTAGGGCAGGGTTTCATTGGAGTCCCATCACCTTGTGGCCATCTGTTGCCGGCTTCTCTGCCTGCCTCAGGTAGGCTACAGGAATCTGGGCAGCAGTCTGAGGGGCAGAGGTGGCTGCTATGGTTGTGATGTTGGCCATGAGCTTCCTAAGGTCAAAATTTGAGGCCCTTGTTATTTAGGTTTTATCTAATAAAAGAGTTTAGGAACTCCCTACATTGAGTTCCAATTTTCTCTTCAGAATATGATACACTGAAACCATGTATAGTGTTGGCATTCTTGTGTCATTAGCAATAGTATTTGCAAAAGTGTGATTCTAATGAACCTTGTCTACATCTGTTTCTTCATTGACTTACCACAAAAGTTAAGTTCTACTCTATGCTTTTTCTACATCTTTCACCAGTTCATCCCTTTGCCTCCTTAAAAATTGTGTTTTCAGTAGAAAGAAGTACTGGGCTTACATGTAGAAGATAGCAGTTTTCATTTCCAATTCTGCAACTGCTGTGTAATTTTGATTAACTTGTTTGACCTCCCTAGGTCTTCATTCTTTTAGCCATTAAATAGCAATGTACAATCATATTTAACACTTGGGGTTACTGTGATGATTAAGTTGATGATAGAAAACCTTACTTTAGAGTGCTTTAACATTTGTCAGCACTCATACACATTCTTATTTGATACTGAGGACACCTCTGCTCTGTGCAGATGCCATGTTACTTTTAGCATCACTCTTGCATAATGTATTCCTATGATATTTCTACGTGTCAGTGAGTTGAGGTTTCATTATGGCTCACATACTTTTTCTTTTACAGAAACCACTTGACTATAAATACAGATACTTCCGTCGTGTCCCCGTACCAGAAGCAGATCAGAGTTTTCATGTGGGGCTACAGCTGTGTTCCAGTGGCCACCAGAGGTTCAACAAACTCATCTGGATACATCATTCTTGTCATGTTACATACAAGTAGGTGAATGTGATACAAATACTAGAGTTACACAATAAATGTGTACTTGATGTCAGGCTTAGAAAACCCTCACATAGCTTTCAAGTTCCTCCAGAGTTGACATTACATTGTAAAACAGCATTACATTACAGAGTGTTACGTGCTCCCATAGATGCGCTCAAGTCTGTTGTACTTCCCTAGAGAACTCTCAGTGTGGTAGTTAGTGCTGCCGGTTCAAGCCGGTCATGTTCTTCCGTTTTCTGGGTGGGGGTCACCTGCCCAGGAAGAGGGCCCGGGCCAATGACAGTCTTTTCTATGGCAGTGTTATTCTGTCAGGCATTCAAAAACCAAAACAACAACTACAAACCAAGAAACTTGCTGAAAGGAGATAAACTGAGAGTGGACCAGGAGGCGGAACTCTCCCCAGTGCCCCTGGGAGTGGGAACTGGTGCCGCCACTTTGGAAGTGAAAGTTGAGCTCCTCAAGCAGAATGGTACTCAGTCACTCAAAGCTGTCCGTGCATTACTTACTCATTGACTTACTCAAGGCACTTTTAAAACACTAGATCTGTTTTCTTCCCCTGGGTTTCAGTCTTACCATTTTTTTTACTTATTTCCATTGTGTTTATTCTCAGGGATTATACACTGATTTTAATAAAATGGTAGGTAGAAGAGTAATTAAGTCTTCTAAAAAGATCTGTGTTTGAAAGCCAAATCTATCAGGTCGTTCCTAATTTAAAGCTCTTCATGTTAGGTTACCTGTGTGAAATAGTTAATGAGCAGAAGAATGTGTGTGAGAAAGGAGCAGTACAGAGATAAGAGAAAGAGCAATTTGTGTGGATGTTGAGGTTCACTGTTGCTAGGTTTAAAGGAATATTGGTGTGTGGTCGAGGGTTCTCCGTTCCAAAATTGAATCCAAAATTCTCAGAGACAAGTTTTGAGGTCATCTCCTATTAACCTACCTCATAGCCTTGACCACAGGGTCGAAAACTTTCTGCGTCTTGTTTCCACCTTACAAGGAACTTTCCCCCCCACTCATATGAAAGGTCCTGAGAACTGAGAAAGCATTTTTCTTTCTTTTAATTCTTACCTACCAGTCCTATACCTCCTCTTTTGCTTCACTTTGTAAAATTGTGCAGATGGAATTTCTATCACGTTTTAGGAGAAAAAGGACATGATAGGTGTCATCTATAACTGCTAATGATAACATTGATTTCCTTACAGTATTTATAAAGTCACTTGAGTTTTAAGCCTTTGTTTATTTCTCACCTTTTTGGAGACAAATAAAAGGCTATAGTAGTTTAACTTGTCACCTGCTTCTTCTCCCTCTGAACTGTGATCATGCTGTTGATCATGCAAATATTTAAGTCATTAAATTCTATTATAGGAATAGAATTCTTTATAAATTACATTTTAACAAGATCCTTAAAATGCCTATAGTCTTTAACTTAGAATTTCTATTCTTAGAAATTTGTTCAAAGGATATAATAGAAAATATCATATTATTTTTAATTACCAAACAGTGAAAACAACCTAAATCTCCAAAAAAGGGGGATTGTTATTATTAAGTAAATTGTGATATAGGCAGACAGTGAAATATTACACAGGAACCAAAAATGACTTCTGAAGTGTATTTATTGATAGGAGGAAATGCGTATGTCAGAATGTTAAATTAAAAGCAGGATTACTAACAGTATGATCTCAATAGAAAAGCTCAATAGACAGGTTAAGGTCCTTGGAAGGAAGTACAGTTGACCCTTGAACAACATGGGTTTGAGCTGCATGAATCCACTTATATGTGGATTTTTTTCAATAAATAGAGTACTTTAAATGTATTTTTCTTATGATTTTCTTAATAACTTCGCCTCTTCTCTAGCTTACTTTATTGTAAGATTATAGTATATAATGCATATAGCATACATAATATGTATTAATCGACTGTTTGTAACTGGAAAGGTTTCTGGTCAGCAGTAGGTCATTAGTAGTTCTGTTTTGGGGGACTCAAAAGTTAATATGCAGATTTTTGACTGTGTGGGAGGTTGGCACCCTTAACCCTGCGTTGTTCAAGGGTCAACTGTAATTCATATGCTATGTCTAGGTGATGGAATTATGAGTGATTTTTCTTTGTACTTTTCTAAATTTGTCAGTTAAAAAAAATTTAATATTTATTTATTTTGGAGAGAGAAAGAGCAGGGGAGGGGCAGAGAGAGAAAGAGACACAGAATCTGAAGCAGGCTCTAGGCTCTAAGCTGTCAGCACAGAGCCCGGCATGGGGCTTGAACTCACAAACCGTGAGATCAGGACCTGAGCTGTGAAGTTGGCTGCTTAACTGAGCCACACAGGTGCCCCTAAATTTATCAATTTTTTTAATAATATGCCTATTAAATAACCAAGTAACTTTTAAAGATTTAATTGGCTTTATTGAAAGATTCATGAATGGGGAGCTCTGAGGAGTTGTACAAAATGGAAGGTTTTATAGGAGAGCCAAGCAAGAAGGTTATTAACAAAAGAAAAGGATTGTTTCAAGCAAGGACAGTTTCCCTTAGAGGGAAAAGCCAGGTGTCTTATGCAGACTACCTCATCTTACTTTGGGGATTGCAGAGGGCCCATGTGGCAGACTCCTTGGTACCATCAGAAAATTCCTGACTGACCAGTTAAGACTGCATTTCTGAGGGAGGTGGAAACTGCAGTTAAATTACGTATTAAGCCCCAGTTTGGGAGCTCATTCTGATGATGCCATTTTGGACCTGTGGTTTTCTTAATAGTGCCCCCTTTAACAGTTCCCCCTTTTGATCAGACTCTCAGCTTAACTGAGAGATGTGATAAAAATTTAAGACATTAGCACCAACTGTCAATTACCATTCTGTACTTCTCACAGCTTTTGTAGATCCTTTGTGTGGTACCTATAGCTCCTGATTCTTTTCCTTAATCTCTATGATGTTGCTAGGTCACAGCTTCAGGTTCACATTCCAGTCTTAGGAGATCATTTGCTTGCTGATCAGTGGCTGTGAACATACATTCAAAGATTTTGAGAGAAGATAATGCATCAAAGGGATTATTACTATAAGGATAATACCCAATAGTGGGAGTATACTTTAGAGCCATGGTCTCCAAGACTCAAACCAAGAAAAAACAAGTCAAAGACCCTGCTAAAGGAGTCATCTTTTTAAGCCCAGGGGCTTGCTCAGTGATCTTATATAATTGAGTTTTAACTTTCCCCTAAGTGTTCTTAATCCAGTCACAGTGGGTGGTGTTGGCCACAACACAAGATGTTCAGCTAAAAGATAATCAAGGACAACTTTGGCTAGAGAGTCTAAGGATCTCTGTTGTGCTACTGCTTTAGCAGCAGATTTTGCAATACTTTTGAGAATTAAGAAGTTCTTGATCATAGCCTCATTTATATTTATCCCTAACCAAGGAAATAGGGACCTGTGAAAAGGAGTGAATCTGAATCATGAATGTCTCCTCATAGGTCTTCTTTAATTCAACAGTGTAAATTTAGAGAAACTCCAGAGGTTATACACCCCATCTCCCTTAGCAATGGCCTGGGAGATCTAGATGAGGGTGTTATCTTTCCAGGCCAATGCCAGAGTGAAGGAAAGGCGAAGAGGAGAAAGGGGTTTACATTTAGTTAGCATATGAGGTGTTGATCCATCATCTGGGAAGGAAGGAGTCTACCTTGATGTCAGCTATGTCTTTTCCTTGTCAATTTGATACAGAGGTCTCCAGCATCTGTACAGGACCAGGTGTCAGGTGGAGCCTTCTCTAATTGTGTGATGTGTATGCAGGGCTTAATACTTTTTAGTTTTGGAGCAGGGTCAGTGGTCAGGGGCACCTGGTACTCCTGGTAAGGTCCTTTTCCAGTGGGGCTGGAGGGTTGTTTTCCTCTGATGTTTATGTAGTCACCAAGCTCTAAACTGTGATCAACAGGTTTCTCTGAACTGGGATCCAGAAGCTTCTTGAACCTTTTGATGTCAGGCTTGAACACAAGACATTAGAGACTTGTAGTAGCTGGTTATATGAGCATGAGACAACAGGGGTTCAGCAGAAGGTTGTGTACTAATAGAATTCCAAGAAGTTTGTAAGGTTTCATTAAGAATTCCAAGAAGTTTGTAGGGTTTTCATTAAGGCTTGTATGATTAGTCCGGTGAAATGGCTGCTTTGATCACTGGAGATGAAGTGGAAGTTATACCCCAAATGGGAAACACATTTTTTAATGTTACTTATTTTTTCCTGTGAGGGCATCTGTCTTACAGCAGTCATGACCCATCTAGAAACCACCCATATAATAACAAAAATACATTTATTGATAACCCATACTAAGTGGCAACTGAATGAAGTCCAGCTGCAAGTATTCTGAGTCCAGAGGGTGGAGGTTTAAGGCTTCTGGGAACAAAAGTAGATTTTTGGGAGGAGGGGAGTGGTGGTGACCAGTCAGGTCAAATATTGCTGATAAACATCTATAAAATTACAAAATCAGTCTATCAATGTCTGTTTATAATTTGAGTCTTTTTAAATGTCCTGTGGTAGGAATGCAACAATTGAAAAATGGGATTTGTGGGGCACCTGGGTGGTGCAGTCAGGTAAGTGTCCAACTCTTGATGTCGGCTCGGGTCATGATTTCACAGTCTGTGGGTTTGAGCCCTGCATCAGGCTCCGTGCTGACAGCGCAGAGCCTGCTTGGGATTCTGTTTCTTTCTCTCTGCTCCTCCTTCGCTTTTGCTGTCTTGCTCTCAAAATAAATAGATAAACTTAAAAAAAAAAAAAAATGGGATTTGCCAGGGAGCCAGAAAGAACCAGGCCATCTTGGGTTTCCCATAACCCAAGTGTTGGTTTCATTTGCAGTCATTGCTTACTTAGCTCCATTTCTCCAGTTTAGAAGCGGGCTGCTGCCATGTCACAAGGACATCAGGATGACAAGAGTCCGGTGATGAGGGGCCATTTTTATGGAAGCAGAGTAGACTTTATCCATATGTGCCACAGTTTTACAAACATAGAGAAGGCTTAGTGTTAACTCATTT